CGTCTCTCTCTCTCTCTCCTCCTCTCTCTCTCTTCTTCCTCTCTCTCTCTTCTCTCTCTCTCTCTCTCTCTCTATCTATCTATCTATCTCTATCTTTCTCTCCCGCGCATATCTTTCTTCTCTTTTCATTCGTCCGTTCTCCGCTGCCACGTTTTTTATCCTTTTTATCCATCACACGTGTTCTCTCTCACTTGTTTCATAGTTATTTGTTGATTATATATGTACATCTCTCTTTATCTTTCTCTGTTTTTCATTTTAAGATCTTTCGATATTTACATACGTCCATACGTACACACACGGAACGCCGTGCGTGCGCCGCGAGTGAATGCGACACGTCGTCGCGAATCACGCATTGTGGAGAGATCATCGCGTGATTATCGAGATTCCCCCTTCCTCTCCTTTTGATCTATCCGCGATAGCTCTTGGCGCGATGTTCCCGATAGCGGTCGTCGAAGACGAGTATTGCGTACTTGGTGTGAATACGACGACCGATCGGGAAGGTGACGAGTGAGACTGATGATTGCTTGCAGAGAAAAGTGGTGAACCATCAGAGTTGGTGCACAACGGAGTAAATCGATCCAGTCCATTACGAGATCGAGAAATTACCCGCAATTTAGTGCGACAATATCGGCGAAGAATGTAGTGACGATAATCCGGAAGTATTAATCAATATAACCGTCGCTACATCGGCACAAAGTCATCAATATTGATTACTCCGAAATGGCGACACGGATATGCGGGATGAGTTTGCAGGAGTGAGAGAAAGAGAGATCCTTGGAACTTGGCGCTCCGTGATTTGACAGGTGCATCGTTGTTTCGCCTCATGCTCGGTTTCGTGTGAACATAGCCATAGATACGGTGCACAGGTGTCGCGAATCCCCCGTAAAATGATGACGATCGCGAGGATCGCGTCATCGACGACGAGCGGGTCGTCGGCGATCACGATGAGGTAGTGGTCGTCGGGACACGTGCCGGTTGGATAACCGCAAGTGTGTAAACGGAAGACGAGGCAAGACTTATCCCGAGGGAAGAGATACTTCAAGGATACTTTCTCTCGGTGTTTTTGACCGCTTGACTTTTTTGGGGACCAATCGATTGCAGTCGAAGGCGAAGAGAACTGGAGGCGACACGGATAATCGAGCACTTCCGAAGGACGCAGATGCCCCGAAGGAAACAGCACGCCCCGCAACGCATGAAATGTGAGTCAAGACAGAGTCAACGTGAGTCTTGATTTGACAGCGACGGTGGAGCGAGTAAGAAATTTGCCGATCGAGACGATCGGAAAGCGAGGAAAAAGAACGCAAAATGCAAACCTTTTCCTCCGAAATTTTTTCATTTCGATTTCAATGAGAAATAATAATTACAATATTAATAATTGTCACTGACTTTTGCAAATTGAGAGAAATTTGTTAATTATTTGAATTTTTATTTGAACTCGATTTCCGTCAAATTTTTCTCGCGCAGAAAAGATGCACGGAGCAATGCACGTGTGAACGAAGTTCGATCGAGAAGCCGGCGTTCCACCGTCGCTGATTCGTCGAGCGAACTCGCAGAGCCACGTGGAATACCACGTGGAATGCGACGAGATTTCGGGAATAATCGCAGAGAATTCCAGGCGCGGGATTATCCGCATTTATTTTCTCCCGACGTGATTAATTATTTCTTCATGACATGCTTATATATATATATATATATATATATGTAGTGTGTGTGTGTTTGTTGTGTGTGTGTGTGTGTGTGTGTGTGTGTGTGTGTGTATACGAGAATGTGTACGAAAATTCAAGCAATGTGAGACGGCAAGCACGATTGAACTGTTGTCCGATGACCGTCATCGAGCATCGATCGCCGTCACGCTGGGATAAAATTCTCGACATGCATAGCCAGCGATTTACTGCATTTCTGCAGCGCGTGTTTATGGATTAATTAAAACGAAGAAAACGTCTAGACGATCGTAAGAGAGCTTCCATAAAGTCGTAGAATGTCTTTTACTGCCAGTTTAGCGTTCACGCGTACCTCACTGCCGGAGTTCCTAAGTTACACCGCTGTCGTGTACGGTGGATATTATCGCGCAGGAAACTTTTAACGCGAGGATTAAAGAAATAGAAAATACCTGTTTCGTTGAACCAAAGCGATTTCGCATGCTGTTGCATGCTCGAAGAGCACACAAAGAGCTTTGGCACTTTGGCTAAGCGACAGCAAGATTTACCTCTTTTTCCTTTTCTTTTTATATAAAATTTACCTGAATTTTCTCATAAAAAATTGATCTTATCAGCGATAAATTAAAAAGCATTATTTTTTATTGTTGTAAACAGACGTATAGTGTCAATTGAGAGTATTTTAATGTATAGGAGATAAAACGCCACATTTAAAATATGAGAGCTAGTGAGAGCAAATTTTTTAAGATATTTTTTTTAAATAAATATTATCGGCAAATTAACGATTAACGATTGATTGGGTAACAATCTACAATGAATTTATTACGAAAATTTGTACTACGAATTTTATAAACAACATGCAAGATATATAATTTATAAAAAATAAAATAAATATATCGATTACGTACAATCCTTGACAATTGCTATAATTGCATTATTTTATTATATTATATATATATATTTCTCACAGATAAATTCATATTGAGAAAGAAAGTTCAAGTATTTTGTATTTTCAAGAAAAATGTATTTAAATTATAATTTGTCTTATATATTAATTTCTTTTTAGAATTTATAAATTTTGAAGTATTTTAAATAAAATTACTTTTTTATACAAAATTGTGTTTTTATTATGCTTTTAGTATACTAGTAAATATTTAATAATAATAAATGTAAATTTATATTATGTGTTTCCTATATTTATTTCTACTATGTTTCTCAAACTGTCTGTTTGCATATCTGTCAATTATGACTGAATTTTTAATATTACTATTTATTAAGGTAATTAAATACATTAAGTATTTTATATGCATGTATATTATGCAATCACTGTCTATTAAAAGGTTAAAAATTATTTATGAAATAAATAATATTTATTTCATAAATAATTTTATGAATTATTACGTGTATTTTATGAATTATTACGTGTATCAACGTAATAAAGAAAAATTAAAATTATATAAGAATTTTTATTCAAGCATAATTTCTGTTAAAAAAGATAATTTAGTATTATAATATATTAAAGTTATAAAACACATATGTTTTAAAAGAAAGAGAATATAAATAAAAATTGCAAAATATATTTTTCTTTCAAATATATCTTCAAATATATCTTTCTTCTTATAAAGCTAACTTAAAAAATGTTTTTTTTTAATTTAAAAAATATCGAGACACACTAATAGCTTTAATGTTTTCTATCTTGACATAATCTTTTGAAAAAAGGTCACGCACAAGATGTTTGCAATAGTTTGGATTATGCATATATGTGCATATCAAAACATCTCATTAATTTTTATTTTGTAGATTATAGTGTTTTACAATTAATATGTGCATATGTAAACAATCATACAAAATTTATATGTTCAATTTAACAGTTAAAGTGGATGAAGAATCGCACGTGTAAAAGTTAAAAAAGTTTTCTCATATTAGCGCGCTTAGCGAATTTGTTGCCGGAGAAGTTGAAATATATCCATCCTCACCTCCGTTGAGTCAGGTCGAAGACAGACCGAAGGCGTGCACGCCATTTCGTTGAATCTCCCGACAGATGGGCAGAGCGACGGCGGCGGCGGCGGCGGCGGCGGCGGCGGCAGCGGCGGCGAGGTCCGCGTTCAGGCCGAGGCGATTTGTGCGTTTGAGGCCGCGACGCGCGCCATGCTGCCTTTCCCACGTGGGGAGTCATGAGGCGTAAACAAACTCGCCCCCGGTAGCGGAGGGACGCCATCTTGGTGAAGTTCTGCCCGGAAACATTTACAATTCACTCAACTTACCTTACCGAAACTCGGCCAAGCGCCGATAAATCTCGTGCGCGGGCGCGGCGCGCATACCCCGCGACGCGATGCCAGGGACCGCGTACCATAAATTCGCGGCAGTCCGCGGAGTTTCACTGACGTGTATGCTACAGTTTTTTTCGCCGAGTGCCGACAGTTTCCGCAAGATCAAGACGATTCACGATTCCGATGATTTTCCCCGAGATGTAAACGATTTCGATTTGTTACCGGAAACCCATTTTAAAATCTATTATCCGCTTGAGAAAGTTTATCGTAATGTAAATAGGAAGAACATTATTTAGAGAAACAAAGAGAACCATTTATTTTAATTTTTATTACAAATATAATTTTTCTGTAATATTATAAAATATTTTCGATACTCTTTTTATAAGAACACATCAAAGTATTATGTTAAAATAATGTGATTATATAAAAGAAATATTTTACGATAAATATTTTATGAAAAATAGAGTCATAAAAATTATTCCGATGAAATCAGGAATCAAGAAAATTTGCAACTTGATATAAAAAGTGAAATACAAGAGTTAAAATATTTGATTATGAAGTCTGCATAATTTAATTTGATTTCGGATATAATTTCTAATTCCTATATTTCCCTCTTTTGTTAATTATTTTAACAAAAAGTCGCCGGACGAACTTATTCGGTTATCTAATTATTATTTTCCAAGTAATATACGATTGTGCAAGAAAGATATATTTCTACGAATCAATGTATTTTTTAAATTCTGATAGTTGCCAATCAACAGAGCTTATCTGTACCGGAAGCAAATGCGAATGTTTTTAGCTATGCGAAACGATAAGGCCATCAGCGAAAGTAGACGTGCGCGAGTTAAAAAAATAACAAAATATGGCCCGGTGAGCTATGACGTGGCTAATTTCTGCGTTTAATTTACGATGCTCCGGTGAAAGGATCCGTAAAACATGCTGATTCCTACAAATCGATCTGCTGGGTATCGATCGCGCGATCATGCTGCGCTCTCGATAGGCTTGGGAATTTAATTAGCAATATATTATGGAGAAACGATCATCGCCTAGCTGTATTCTTGTCTTTGGATTTATTCTATCTCGTGCAAAGCAGTTGCAGTATATCAAGAGCGGTACAAAATAACACGATAAAGTTTCTAACTGCAATTGGAGATAAAGATGAAAATAAATGTAAAGATGAAAATAGATCATTTATTCGATTATTCACGATTATTTACATATTAGTGTTTCATAAATATTGGAAAATATTGGAAAATATTTACAATTAAAATTAAAAATACAATATTATATAAGTAATAATTTAGTTAAAAAAATAATAGTTGTATCAATTAGCTAAATGATTATAAGAAGAAATGCTTTTATACCAGATTTGCTCCATCCAAAGCTGCACCTGCGAAAAGTTATATTATATCGCTACATATTTACGTGTATTAATATTAATTTCAGTCTGTTTAAGTTATTATTAGTCTATATTTATCTATGTTTATATTTACTATGTCTATGTTTATATTTACATTTACAACTTTGCAAAGTTCCTTAAAATTAATGTCGGTTAGGTGTACCATGTTTTTAATACTTGAATTGATCTTTAAATATAATTTTCCAAATTGCTTGCCTGGTCCTGGTGAAGAAGGTATATATAGAGCATTTACTAACATTCGCATTCGATGCAACAGGTGCAGCCTCGATGCCCTCCTTCGGGCCTCCATGCCCGAAATTTGCATTACCAGTATTTCGCGTCTTCATCGGCTTGTTGCATAAAAAAGATTGGTATCCCACCGATCACTAAAAGTAATACGACAGAGAGACAAGAAAGCGTTTTTGTTAAGAGATTTTATTTTCTTTAAAGATTTTATTTTTTTCTGTCGAACACGACATCTCAATTTTAGCATTCAAGATTTCAAAGTTGTTAAGATATATAATGAAAAAGTCTCGCAGATTCTTTGGCTTTATTCCTAAAGAAGAAAACATGCTGTCACGTGTACTTATGTTCTTTTCAAATATTTTCAAGCAAGATTTACAAAATTAAAGGCGATAACTACATAATATGACATTTTTATTACGGCGACTTATCGTCGAGTCACGAAATCGAGATAACTAAATGAAGATGATTGATTTACCAACAGACGCGTCTCATTTATTTAATACTGAAATCCTCGGACTCCAATTATATTTAGAGCGTCTCGTCGTTGCTATTACTTTGCTCCTTCTCTTTCTTTCTATTCTTCGCAGAGGAGAAAAATCGATTTTTGACCGTTCCTGAAAAAGCAACGC